TTATATATATATATATATATATATAATATATATATATATATATATATATATATATATCTGGGTGGCTAATAATAAACTGTATTATTATACTATACCTGAAGCCGGCGTTTCCCTGTGTCAGTCCACACCTTTCTGGTCATTCCTAGATTCCTGACACTGGTCCTGTGGCACGTGCCTGAGTATTTCTTCTGAGCAAAACGCCAGTCTGGCTTGAGTTTGTAGGATTTTATCAGCTCTCCAATGTGAAATGTCACTTTAAGTTGTGTCCTTCTAATAATCAGTAACAACACTTGTGGCCTGACACAAACAGAGACCCTAACTATAGGCCTGTCTCAGTCCTATGGGCGCCAACACTGAACTGGTCTGCTTTGCATCCGTTGGTGACTCTGAACAGAACAATGTCTCTCCACTAAGCGTGCAATATTATCAGCAATGTATGTTGCTTTGCTCCTCTGTCCTCATCAGCTTCCTGGCAGCAAATCTTCCCCTCTTTGAACAGGATTAGCGTCTTGAACACCATCAGCTTCACTCAATGGGATTTCTGATTACGGAGGGCAGTCTTCACAGCTGGATGGCAATGGATTATCCGATCCCTCAGCCTTTCTTCTCTCTCTCTCCAGTATGGCTTCTCTTTTCTCTTCCTGTTTACTCTCCTTCAGAAAAACCCCACCCCTTATTGAATATAGAAATAGCTATGCAGTCTGAAGCTGTGTTAAAAACAGTGACATCTTGTGGCCAAACTGCATAACGTCAGTCAGGACTTTCTCTAATTTACTTCACACAGTATTCAAACAATGAGAGCTGTTTCCCATCTTTACACCTGTGACATGCAGGGAAGAAGTCGCCGCACTTCTTCTGAAAATTCAGCCCGCACGGGACTCTCAGTTCCCAGTACGGGGGCGGCGTGCCATTAGAACTAATGGCACCCACCCGTGGGTCCACAGTTCTCTGTGTGTGGTGGTGCGGCTGCACAGATTTTTGTGCGGATCTGCAGCGGCAACACCTGCATAAATGTGAACCTAGCCTTAAATGGGCTGCCCTACATGCAACAAGTGCCCCAAAAATAGCACTAGAATATACATTATTTTTCTTGTGGGTTACCCTGTGGTCAGAAATGCCCAGATGTACTCGAATGGTAACCCAAGCATGCTGAGCACTGCTACGCGTTTTTGAGATGCATAGCAATGCATTGTCTGTGCAGAATGCTGCTCATTCGGAACATGAGCAGATGCAAATGCAGCCTAAATGGTAACACAAGCATCACGCTCATTGCTACGAATTTTCAAAACACATGGCAAAGCATGTATTTTCTTGCAGCTTGCTGTGCATTTGGAAAGATGTGAATGAATGGTGATGCAAGCACACTGCACATTGCTGCTCATTTTATAAACGCACGGCAAAGCATCAATGGTGTATTTAGGCTTTGTGCTGCCCTAGGCAGCACAAAAAACGTCTGCCCCCACAGGCACCAACCAACACCCCCCCCCCCATCCCCTTCCGTGAATAGAGCCTGACATTGACCAACAACACCCCTGGGAACACAGCCTTCAACTACTTCCACTATAGAGAGAAAGACACTCATGTTCACAACTCTAGACATCCCTGGGAACGAGAATCAGGCTCTACATACAGCACCAAGCAGCCAGCAGCCTCTCTTAGATCCCACCTGGTTCCCATGGTGCGCATGTCCCTTCTTTCATCCCTTCTTCTGGGGGGAGGTGCTGCCCCCCTGAAAAATGCCGCCCTAGGCAAATGCCTTGTTTGCCTTGTGGTAAATACGCCCCTGCAAAGCATACATTTTCTTGCAGGCTGTTGTGAATTCGGAAATGCACAGATTTGAACGAATGGTAATGCAAGCACAGTGCATGTTGCAACGTGTTTTCAAAACATGCGGCAAACCGTGTTTTTTTTTGCATGGATTTCCGCATGCTCAGAAATGCACAGATGCAAATGAATGGTAATGCAAGTGTGTTGCCGTTTGTTTTTGAAACACACAACAAAGTGTACATTTTCTTGTGGGTTTCTGTGCGTTCGGAAACATGCAAATGGTAATGCAAGCACGCTGCACATTGCTGCGCGTTTTAGAAACACATGGTAAAGTGAATGTTTTTTTTGCGGGTTGCCGTGTGTTTGGAAACACACAGATGAAAACCAATAGTAGCGCAAGCACGATGCATGTTGCCGCGCATTTTGGAAACACCTGGCAAAGCTCATGTTTTTTCTGCTTGTTATTGTGCATTTGGAAACGTGCAAATGCAAATAAATGTTAAAGTAAGTGCGCCGTGCATTTTCTTGTGGATTGACATCCGTTTGGAAATGCACAGATGCGAACGAATGGTAATGCAAATGAGATGTGTGTTGCCGTTTGTTTTTGAAACACATTGCAAAGCACATGCTTTCTTTTGCTGGTTGTTGCACCTTTGGAAATGTGTAAATGAGAACACAAATGGTAAATGGTCTAAATGGTAACACTGACATGATACACATTGCTGCACGTTTTTTAAACACATGGCAATGCGTGCATATGTTATTGCAGGTTGCTGTGGGCTCAGAAACGCACAGATGCAAACGAATGGTAATGCACACGAGCCACATGTTGCCGTGCATTTTTTGAAACGCTTACCAAAGCGTGTGTTTTTTAGCAGGTTGCTGTACATTCAGAAACCTGCAGATGCAAACAAATGGTAACACAAGTGTGATGCGCGTTGCCGTGCATTTTCAAAATGCAAAGTGCGCATTTTCTGTGCAGGTTGCCACTCACACTGTGTTCAGCTAAATGTTTTTTGGAAATGCATGACAAAGTGCATGTTTTCTGTGCTGGTTGCATTCGGAAATGCATAAATGAGAACACAGCCTAGATGGTAATGTAAGCGTGACATACATTGCTGCGCATTTTCAAAACACACAGTAAAGCATGCTTTTATTATTGTGGGTTGCGTGAGTTCGAAAACAGATCGATATGAACGAATGGTAAAAACATGATGTGCATTACCATGCGTTTTCAAGACACACGGCAAAGCATTCCTTGCTGGCAGCCTAAATGGTAAAAAAAAGTGCAATGTGCATTGCTGCGCATTTTAGAAATGCACAGCAAGGCGTGTGTTTTCTGTGCAGGTTGCCATGGATTCAGAAACCCAGCACAAATAGCACTGTGAGAGCGACGTGTGTTTGGTGGGTGTTGCCATGCGTTTTGTGTGTGGGTTGCATGAGCAGGCCTGCATGAGTGCCCTCCTAGCCAGTGGCAGTGGGGGAAGAGGAGAATCTGGGCTGTTTTCTTCAAAACTTTACACAGAGAAGGGAAGTATAACATGTTTGTTATTTTTAAAAAATAAAAAAAAAATTGCTTTTAAAATCACTTTAACCACTTGCCCTTCAGAGGATATACCCCCCTTCCTGACCAGGCCATTATTTGCTGTTCAACACTGCACTATTTCAACTGGTAATTGCGTGGTCGTGCAATACTGTACCCAAACAAAATTTATGTCCTTTTTTTCACACAAATAGAGCATTCTTTTGATGGTATTTAATCACCTCTTATTTTTTTTTATTTTTTTTGCGCTATAAACAAAAAAATGGCTGAAAATTTTGGGGAAAAAAAACAATATTTTTCACGTTTGGTTATAAAATATATCCAATAAACTCAAAGTTAGTCATAAATTTAGGCAAAAATGTATTCTGCTACATGTCTTTGGTAAAAAAATAATCTCAATACGTGTATATTAATTGGTATAAGATATGTGAGCACACTAAAAGGAGCAACTATGCACAAAAGGTAACCAAATAAAACCTTAATAAAACTGGTAAATCACAGTGCAGTGCTAAAACATATACTGTATAACCTTTAAGGTGACTCAGCAATGAAGTAAATGAAGTTCATAACTAAATAAGGAATAAATATAAAATTCAAAAAAGTTCAAAGGTGACAATAGTGCTCTGAAGGTGCTGCTTCAGTAATAATCTGGTGCTTGTGCAAATGGGTGTAGTAAAATTTCGCCCTCACCAGATGCACAACATAAATGCGCATGTAAATATATATCCAGATGTCCTCTTAAGGAGATCAGAGTAGACCAGGTGGTGGGTTATCCTCCCTCTGAAGGGCGAGTGGCACATCAGATAATTCAAGGGCTCTACGATGATCCAAATCAGCCAGAGGTCCCCTAAAGGGTTGGGTGGGTGTTGCTTCCTGGGTATACAGGAGATTCCCTCTCTGGATACTGGGATGGATCTGTGGTCTTGAATGGGCTTCTGAAAACCAATTATTCCTGGTTTTCAGTACTGTATACTAACAGTTCTCCTCCCTGTCAGCTTGGGTACACTGCTTTGGATGGCTGTGCACAGCACAGCCATCCAAAGCAGTGTGCTTACAGTGAAGCACACAGACACTGCCCCATAGTAAAAACACACCCAGCACACAATTAACCCTTTGATCGCCCCTCAAAATTGACAGACTTTTTTTTTTAATAGCGCAAAAAAGAAAAACTGCACAGGAGATCAAATACCACCAAAAGAAAGCTCAATTCGTGGGAAAAAAAGGACGTAAATGTAATTTGTGTGCAGCGTTGCATGACTGCGCAATTGTCAGTTAAAGTAACGCAGCGCCATACCGCAAAAAATGGCCTGGTCAGGAAGGGCGGGAAATCCTCTGGAGGGCAAGTGGTTAAGATAAAACAAAATCTTCTGTCTTTACAAACACTTTAGGCTTTGTCTCTGCCCAGCGCATGTGAACACTTTGTAATAGGGTTTTGAGCCTTTGGACAATCTAGCTATGATGAAGGCCTTGTGGGGGAGAAATGCATTTGCTGATTCTTTAGCTCTGGTTTAATGCTGCTTAAAAATAACGAAGATTTGGAGGATTCTTGTCTATGCCAGACACCTTTCTGTTATGTTTGTTTTTGTTTGTTGAGGAAGAAACTGAAGTTCTTGAGTGTGTCCATGTATGAGGAGCGAGCTGTTTATTTCCCTTTTTGGATGATCAGTTATTGTATTTGCAGTACATAGCTTTACTGCACTGTGGCTCTTGCACAGCGATATATGCCAGAGTCATCTGTATTCGCATTATTGAGTTTTAAATAAATTTCTCCTTTACTGGTGTCTCTAGTTATTGTTATTCTTCCCTTCAATGACTCAGCATAATATGTAGCTCCATTATGGATGATGCGACCCATCCACTCCAGGCCCTTTCCTGGAAATTGTCGTACCCATTCCACACTGTAATACTTGCTGCTGTCAGTGAGAGAGAATCCTTTCACTGTACAGGTCATATCCAGAGACTGTGCTGGCTTCACGATGCTGGGACCAGACTCTACGAATGACGTCTGAGAGTTCACATCTGTAAAAAGTCAGAAGAATATCACAAACAAAAATACTCAAATTCAAGAATAAATCTTATATGAAATAAATTAGACTTACAATGTGTTGAGAATACCACAAAGATCACACAGAAGAGAATCTCCATAATGAAATATGACAAAATGGTGCAATTCAGTGGACAATCTAGTCTTCACAAGCTGGGACAGTTCACTTTATCTGTGACTTGTGTGATTCCATTTGCATATTGTACTCAGATTTACATATAAAAGTCCATAGTTTGCAGTATCACTCATATCAGCCCTTTTCATGAGTAGCTGTACAGCTCCCCTCCACTCATTTTTATAAATTCAACTTAAAGTAGAACTATAGGCAAAACCTTTTTTAAGGGAGGGTCATAACCCTTGTCAGTTTATTTTTGTGATCTGTGTCCCAATGGCGAGATTTCCCTTCACTTCCTGTCCCATAGCTAAAACAGGAAGTCAAAGGAAATCCCTGTAAATTAAGGGAATTCATTGCCAAACCCCCACCCACAGGTCACCAGAACTAGTGTCCCCATTGGAAGATTTCCCCTTTATTACTTTTCTGGGGACAACCCAAAATTTGGGATTTTATTTTCACTTTCCATTATAATGGTAAACAGGACAAATATAGAGGATGGATCTCCCTAACAGGGGCACAGACAACTAGGGCTGCTGTTAGAAACCACGGGGCCCCATACAGCCAACCTGACAGGGCCTCCCCTCCCACCCAGAAAAAAACAAAAAAATAACACAGTTTACTATGCTTCAGTTATGAATGAACACAGTGAGCGATGGGTACCGGTCACTCATTGTGTTCATTCAGGAAAGGAAGGAGCTTGCAAATATGACATATTTACTGGACCCTTCCTCCACTCTCTACACTCTACTGGTGGGAAGGAGAGGAGGGAAGCCAGCAGCACTGCAAGGGTGAGGGGCCTAGGCGGCAGGGGGAAATGTATTGTGCACAGGGAGGGTGATGTGTGTGTGTGGGGGGGGGGGGGTGGCGATTAGCGGAACTGATCCGTGTATGGCTCTCTTTACTGCAGCTGAAATCCAGCAGGAGAGGAGAAGAAACCAGATGGCTGTAATTCCCCCACCCCCGCTGTACCGATCACTCTTCCTGCCCATATCTGATTCACTCAGGTGCCCGGGCCCCCCCTGCTGGGCAGACAACAATAAAAACTGACAGGTGTTCTAATCCCTCTCCACCAGGGGCGGACTGACCATTTGGAAACTCAGGCACTGCCTGAGGGCCCAGGGGTGGCCCCATGAGATGCCCCTGGTACCTTTTTCATAGGCTTTTTTGAGTTTGGGCAAGGGCACAGGGGCCCCATGATCCCCTATTGCCCGGGGGCCCCATGAGTTGTCAGTCCGCCCCTGCTCTCCACTATGTGCAAAACTAAAAAAAAAGTTTTGCCTTTAGCTGTACATTAGTGATCGGGGAAGTTTCAATAAGACCACATTTCACAATGTTATGCTATAAGTAAAAAATTATTTATTTTTGTATTGTGATGTTCACATTTATTCATAACATTTTCAGATATACAGTACATAGGACCTTTACCTACTTAACCACTTCCCGACCGGCCGTTGCATATAAACGGCCGGACGGTGGCAGTGCAGGGTTGGGTGGCCGTCTATAAACGGCCTCCCCGCACCCTGCTTGTGCGCGCTCCCTGGGAGCGCGCAGCACCGCGACACAGTGAAACACCGATCGTCGGACGGGACCTCTGTACGAGGTTCCGATCATGTGATCACTGATTGGCCAATCAGTGATCACATGCAAAGTAGTAAGCAAGATGTCACTTGTGACATCATTGCTTACTACGTGTGAAATCTGTGAATGATCACAGAGGTCACATGGTACAAGCCTATTCACAACAGGCTTGTACCATGTGACAGACTGTGACCAATCACAGCTCAGTCAGTTTTTCTCAATGAGTGCAAGAATGCACACAGAGAGAAAGAGCAATGATTGCTTTTACATCCTATATGGGTGTAAAAGCAATGTGTAAAAAAAAAAAAAAAAAAAAATCTTCATCACCCCTCACAAGTAGTACAGTGTCACCATGGTGACATTGTACTGCTAGGGTGACAGTATGTAAAAAAAAAAAAATAATAATATAAAAAAAAAAAAAAAAATGTAAAAAAAAATGTTTAAAAAATTATAATTTTTGTTATAAACTAATTTGGATTTTTTTTTTTTTTACTAAAAAGATAACGGAATAAATTTTGGCAAAGATTTATGATGAAATATTATTTATTTGCAAAATTTTATAAAAAAAACACTTTGTTTCAAAATATTTGGACTTTTTCATTTACATAGCAAAAAAAAAAAAATCCCAGCGGTGAATAAATACCACCAAAATAAATCTTTATCTGTTTCAAAAAAATGGTAAAAATTCATTTGGGTACAGCGTTGCATGACCGCGTAATTGTCATTCAAAGCGTGATAGCGCTGAAAGCTGAAAATTGCCCTGGTCAGGAAGGGGGTAAAAGTGTCCGGTCTTGAAGTGGTTAAAGATAAGCTACAGATCTTATATTTATACATATTTAGAGAAAATTCCCCCTTGGGATTTTAGATGCAGCCACACAAACTCTATCATAAAATTAAAATTTTATTTATCCAAACCATAAAAACATGTACATGTATATTCCATTCAAGTTAAAAAGAAACATCACAGTTCAACAGAAATCCAATGAAAGTTATGGCAGAGGAGCACTATAAATGTTATGCTGCCGGTTATTCACCAACACGTTTCAATTGAATTAACAATCTTCATCTGGAGGTAACAACAATGTAAATAACAGTGTAAATATGTCCAAAATATAATAATGTATATGCAACTGGTAACATAATATAAAAAAAATTATTGTGGTTTGTTTTTTTTTCCCTTCTGTCTTTAAATTTTTCATTTATTTGATTCATAATTTGGTGTTTGAGTATGATTACAATTTCATTTTTGGCAATTCCTGTCTCTGAAAGGGTTTTTTTCCCCCTCTGTGTTGGCCCATGTGCTCTTGGGCAGCTGGTCCCCAGGTTTTGCCTCCGCCCGAACGCTCCTCAGCCATAACTTTCAGGGGTTCTCTGTTGAACTGTGATGTTCCCTTTTAACTTGAATGGAATGTACATGCTTTTACATTACATAGTTACATAGTTAGTCTGGCTGAAAAAAGACAAAAATCCATCTGGTTCAACCAATTAAAAAAAAAAGTTATAATCCTATACCCACAATTGATCCAGAGGAAGGCAAAAAACCCCCCAGCAAAGCAAGATCCAATTTGCCCCTGCAGGGGACAAAATTCCTTCATGATCCCCTGAGAAGCAATCAGATTATTCCCTGGATCAACTTTACCTATAAATGTTAGTAACCAGTTATATTCTGTGTATCTAAGAAAGAATTCTTTTTTTAAAAAAATCCACTGAGCTGGCCAGAACCAACTCTTGAGGGAGTCTATTCCACATTTTTACAGCTCTCACTGTGAAGAAACCTTTCTGTGTTTGGAGTTTAAATTTCTTTTCCTCCAGACGTAAAGAGTGCCCCCTTGTCCTCTGTGATGACCTCAGGGTGAAATGCTCTACACGGAGTTCACTATATGAACCACTGATGTATTTACACATGTTGATCATATCCCCCTTAATCTCCTCTTCTCAAGAGAGAATAAATTCAGTTCCTCTAATGTTTCCTCATAGCTGAGCTCCTCCATGCCTCTTATAAGTTTGGTTGCCCTTCTCTGTACTTTCTCCAGTTTCCCAATGTTCTTTTTGTGAATTGGTGCCCAAAATTGAACTGCATATTCCAGATGAGGTATTACTAATGATTTGTACAGGGGTAAAATGATATCTCTCTCTCTGGAGTCTATACCTCTTTTAATACAAGAGAGGATTTTGCTCGCCTTGGAAATCGCAGCTTGGCATTGCATGCCATTATTAAGCTTGTGATCTACCAGAGCTCCCAGATCCTTCTCCACCATTGATTCCCCCAGTTGTTTTTTCCCCCTAGTATGTATGATGCATGTATATTCTTAGTCCCCAATTGCATAACCTTACATTTATCAACATTAAACCTCATTTTCCACATAGTTGCCCAATTAAACAGTGCGTTGAGGTTGGCTTGTAAATTGGAGACATCCTGTAAGGACGTTATTCTACTGAACAGCTTGGTGTTGCCTGCAAAATACTGCAAAAATTGAAGAATTACTCATATCAGCCAACTAACAATGGCAGGACAGCAGCTTTTTTCTACAGCTATACTTTGACAACAAAATCTCACAAAGAGGTTTACGCATCCTACAGCACAGCCATCCAAAGCAGTGTGCTTACAGTGAAGCACACTGACACCACCCTATAGTAAAACACACCCAGCACACAATTAACGCTTTGATCGCCCCTCAAAATTGACTGACTTTTTTTTTTAATAGCTCAAAAAATAAAAAAAGGAGATCAAATACCACCAAAAGAAAGCTCAATTCATGGGAAAAAGAGTATGTAAATTTCATTTGGTTGCAGTATTGCATGACCGTACAATTGTCAGTTAAAGTAACGCAGCGCCATAACGCAAAAAATGGCCTGGTCAGGAAGGGGGGGAAATCCTCTGGAGGGCAAGTGGTTCAGGTAAAAAAAAATCTTCTGTCTTTACAACCACTGTAGGCTTTGTCTCTGCCCAGCGCATGTGAACACTTTGTAATAGGGTTTTGATCCTTTGGACAATCTAGCTATGATGAAGGCCTTGTGGGGAGAAATGCATTTGCTGATTCTTTAGCTCTGTTTTAATGCTGCTTAAAAATAATGAAGATTTGGAGGATTCTTGTCAACGCCGCACACCTTTCTGTTATGTTTGTTTTTGCTGTGGAAGAAGCTGAAGTTCTTGAGTGTGTGTCCATGT